AAAATTTGCAAGGAGGATCCTGGCTATTTCGTTTAATAACAAGAATAGTGACCAAGTTTTATCAGAAGTGTCGATCAAATCGCCAAGTAAAATAGGAAGATAAAGAGCAATACATATATTTTGCGAAGCATTTTGGCCAGATTTGGTTTCTCCCTTCATAAATGTTGGTTTAATTTGTGACGGCCTACTTTTCCCGTAATGGCGACCAAAATCATATGACTCTAGGCGATAATTCAATTTGTCAACCGACAGCTTATTTTTTGAAACCAAGTAATTTACAACGGAATGAAATAAGTCAGGCACCACCCCCTCAAATAAGTCGTGCATAATATCGAAGACAAAATTTAATGACATGAAAATATGGTAAAGTATTCAGAATGGAAGAAAAATTCAACCCGTTTCGCTGAGATTATTTATCTCCACATCTAACGAATAATTTGCTACAGTTCTGAGTTTAGATTTTGATTCGAAACAAACACTCTGGCACTCTTTTTTATGCATTTTACAACGCCGACAGGGATAATTTGCATTAAAACCTTCGGAAAATCCTAAAAGAGTATGTAATCCTAAATTATCTCCACATACCTGAGCTAATGCAATTTTTAAATTAATTTGCTCACCATTGTGTACAAACAATATTCCTTCCTCCCAAAGCTCCTTCAATTCATTAGTAATTACTCGTAAAACCGAATTTGGGAACATAATTTGAAGTCCTCGGTTTTAAGTGATGCAACAAGAATAACATTGTCTAATTTTGAAAGGAGGTGTTGTGGAAGATCAATTATAGAGAAATAAAAGTTTGCTAGTTTGTGTTTTCCACTTTTTGAACCCAGAGGATTGGCTACTTCTGCATCATCGTAATAGAGATTGATAAATATTGTTTCTCTGGGCTGATTAAAATCTCTTACAAATTTTCCATCCCGGAAGCAAGAGAAATTTTCACCGTTAAAGTTCTATTAGTTTGCAAAATTGAGAAAAATCCTGGTTTTCGAAGCAACTGTTGAATGGATTTCTTAATAGAAATGTATTGCATAGTGACATTCTTATATTCCTGCTTTCGTGACCCCAAACTTCTAGACTGAAAGGATATGTCGGTGTCAAGGACAATTTCTTTGGGTTCAATCATGAAATTTCTACTTAATAAATACTTATCCATTTTGTATCTTGAACTAAACTGGTCAAAAACGGCTAATAAATCCCTAACCGGACTGTACTTGGTTGGATTTCCATTATAACTGTTACGAAATTCGCTAATTTTAATTACTTCTGCTATGCTTTCCTTCACGACGGACATGATTTTGTACAACTAACCATGGGATCTTTCCAGACTCTAAGATACTAGCGTATAATTTTGCAATGCATGATTCGAAATGTATAACTGACTCAGGACCAGAAAGTCTTCTAATTTAGGAGGGGACAAAACTCGTCATCTTTTCCTCTAACTCTTCTTGATTTAGCAAATCGTATGGCAATCAGTAAGTGATACACCACTTAAAAGTTGGGAATGAAGTTTAAAAATATTCGCAAAGTGACCAAGATAAGCCCTGCGTGCAAATGAACCATTAAATGTGGGCATTTATATTCACTCTCTAGCTTTAGTTTATGAAACTTTGTTAAATGTAGGGATAATAGCCTTAAATTTCTAAATTTATCTGTACATTTAAAACATACGTAAATTACTCCTGATTTTAGCTTAACAATGGCCTTGCTGAGTTTTGAGCGATGTCCAATACTGGGATGAGGTCTGCGAGATCTTCCTTCGATAACTCCAGCAATTCATCATCGGTAATATGGTTTTCTGAAAATAAGAGGGAAAATTGCAATCACATTTATGAGAATAAATTTATTGTACAATTTCGACAATTTGCAACTTTAAATTAACTATTTACCCTCAAATTTTTTGGGTACTCTTCTAATCCGCACTGCTGCAGAAGTCGTCGCACCTCTTGCGTTGCCATTTCTGAGTGGGGTGGTAAAACGGGGGCAAGGAAATGAAAATTTTTTCCAACTGCCCGAATTACACTCGCAGCGTGGTGGAAGGGATTGAGTGGAAAATGCGCTCCTTTGTGGTGTAAGAGCCAACCTCCCGCCCAACTCACATAACTCTGCCACGGGTAGTTATGCATTGTTAACTCTTTCTGGATTAAATCCAAGCAAAGTAGACTAAACAGAGTAAGTATTGGGGCAACCCGATGATAGGTTTGCCATTTACCTGTACAGAATTACCAATACCCCTGTCAGTGTATACTGGCAAGTAACTCAGCACTAAGTTACACACATTTTTAACAGTGCATAAAGTGGCTGAATACTTAATATATACTGAGGTTAGCAGCTTTCATTTTTCCAGGCTGCAGACTGGAAAATTTCTGGAACTCGTTCTTAAATATTACTGCACTACTCTTTTTATTTATGCATGCATTGTATACAATCGCGTGCTCGTAACTCGAGTATTATGCAAATTTCCCAAGGCAATTAGATTGCGTTAGGTTGTGTTCAATGAGGGTGTGTCCTGATCTATGGATTGTTAACCATGGCCATGGTTAAGCTATAGTGCATTGCTGCACATTCGCGAATGTACAGGTTGCGAATATTCGCAACCTGTTTAGCAACCTGTGACCCTGAATTAAACACGTCTGGACTCCAGACTTGTTTTTAGGCCTTTTAAGATGGCCCTTATAGATTTGTCAGGATGTCTGTCTGTCCGTCCGTCTGTCTGTACGCACGATAACTCTCTTTAAACACATTCTATCGACTTGAAATTTTGTACACTTGAACTTTGGGTCAAAAGTAAGGATGAGTTCGAAGATGGGCATGATCGGTCAAGTGGTTGGCCGGTGGGGGTCTTTTCCACCCAAATGTGTTGTCATTAACTACCAAGATGGCATTAATGCCATCTTAAAAGGCCCCGCAAAGTTGCTTGGAGTAGGTTTTGGACATCATGTTTATCGCTGATTAGTTACGGAGAAAAAAAAGTAGACATGTATGTTTAATACTTTGACCCAGTTATGCAATTGTATTGTGCACTAATACCTGCCTGGTGCATGTATACCTGTTCACCTTCATTCATTTGAGTGATCATGATGGCGAATGATAGTAAATGGGAATGAATTTCTTGTCATTCGAGTAAAAATGACTGAAGGATTCCGTCATTTCAGATATAGTGATTGTGAATGAAGGGATTTTTTACTCTGCATTTTCTCCCTATGCTTAACACATGGGGAAGTGAAGTCCGATGAAGTGAAATGAAATGAATTTAAAAGAAAATGACTGCATGTGAATGAAAATCTTCAGTCAGACATCGGGATGACTGACTGTTGGATGAAAACTAAATTTTTGAAAAGATATGGGTATGGGTGCATGTATACCAACCGGAGTACATACCTACTCTCCATTCTCACACAGTTGAAGTTTTACAGAAATTGAAAATTCTGAGAAATTGTGACACTGAAATTATGCTGACGGAGACTGACAGTGGCGTAGTTTCTCAATTTCAATTTTCAATTACTGTAAAAGTTCAACTGTGTGCGAGTGGAGAGTATATAACTCTACCGACACTGGTAATAACGGGAATTCTTGTTTACGGATAAATTATTTGAAACGTTTATGATATAGATGTACATACGTGTTTTTTATTAAATGATTTTTCTGTGCAAGTTAGACACCGTTTTTGAACTGAAATAATTTTGAGTTTATAAATATTGATAGATACGAAAGAATGGTTGAAAATTGTTATTGGATTTGATGAAATTCAAAAATAACTTATTCAAAAATAAGTTCCCGTACCAATTATTACCGAATCAATTACAGAATTTATTACCAAATCAGTACAAGTGCGGATAATATATATGACTCTTCCCGTACAGGTAATAACGGACATTGCATTACCGTTTTGTAATGTTGGGGTAATGAAAAATTTACCAGTCAGAAATAAACTACTACCAATCTGGGAGAAAATTATTACCAAATCGATACCAGCACCGAGTATGTATCTGACTCAACCAGATTTTTAACAGTGTATTAAATAAGCTACAAGTTTACGTTTATAAAACGATCAAAACATTTTCGACATTTTCGAAAATTGTACACTTTTCAAATTTACCGAGCGTTTTCTACCCGTCGGATGCAAATACTCATCTCCCTACTCAAAACCTGAGCATTGACAATAATGTGAATTTATCATTAGGTTTCGTTTATATTAATGTCAATAAATTCATTTTAACATATTTAACCAAAACAGTAGTTATCTAATCAAAAGTTTATAGTTCTGTTTAAGTTTGACGCCGTTTTACTATTATATTTTGTATTTTATGAAACACGTTTTGAATTAGATTGTTTCCTTGTAAATTAGACAATTAAGAGTCTTTGTAACTTTATAAAATCCGTAAACTAATAAAGTTTGACTACTGTTCATCCAATATTAATAGTCGCAATTTCTTGGAAAATTTTCTGAGAGGTCATTTGTTGCTAATTGAAAAATATAATCTGCCAGGTAACCTTCCAGAATTTTTTACGACTAATAAGACTGGATGAACAGTAACATTTATGTATAGAATAATTAGGTTCAAAGTTTTGTAATCTTGCTCAGCTCAAGGCGTTTCTTCTTTGTAAAAGTTTATAAATTATTTGCAAAATTTCGAATTTTGAAAAGTTACCAAAGACTGGGTGAATTGTCTCAAACTAAAAAGATGTCCTTGATCGTTAAGCTACAATTTCTAAATTAATTTTAGAATTTCAAATTCCGTATAAATCGTGCACTTTTTACAATTTTTTTTGGCTGGCAAGTTTTTAAAAATTTGTACGCAAATTTTCCTTAAAAATTGTTGTAAAATTTTGTAAAGTTTACAGAATTTACGGATTTTACAAGGTTACCAAAGCCTACATTTTAAGTGAATTGATTCAGTATTTTGATGCCCGAAGTACATATTTGCATATATACATATGTATATCTGCATTTTTGTATTTTGATGTCACATTTTTTCCACCCCTGAAATTTCAGTGGGTTTATTTGTAAACTTTTTAACTTTTTATTTATTTTATTTTTAATTGATCAATTAATTAATTAATTGTTAACATTACATTAATTTGTTAGCTATTTACTTAATATCCGTCGCAATTTCCATTAGCCAGCAAACAACAATCCTTCGATGCGCAATTCGCTGGACAAAGTTCGCTCCGCATTACAGCCAATCCTGGTTCCGATGCAGTGCGTAATTAAGAAAAATCGGGAAAGCGACACCTGCATTTAAATCCGGCAGCGGCAGGACCCTCGTGATCACGCAGCCCCCCTTGTCCGTCTGGTAGTGACAATCGCAGTCATTATGCGGAGCGGATTGTGCGGCTGGTAAATAAATTTGCATAAGATAAGCGATTTATCGCAACGTAAGACTTAGATAATCGTCCAAATCAGCACGTTTTTAATCATTTTTCGGGGCTGGGAATTTATTTTAAAATTCTGGGCGACAAATTTGTAGAGCAGGGAGTTCCCCATTAAAAAAAATATACGCTGCAGATTTTGACACTTTTTGAAGGAGGAGATCTTAAGTTTAGGAAGTCTTAGAAAAATTGGAACTTATCGAAACTGGCTTAAAAAACTCACCGTCATTCCATTAATCAATTCACTGACTGCAAATTTGTCGTTTAAAATAAATTCCAGAAGATAAGAATTATCAAAAATGTGTTGATTCTGACAATTGTATTGATTTCTGGTTATCGAGTCTTACGTTAATTTCACATTAAGGACGAGTACTTACCCGAAATTATAGCCAGGACGATAACGAATACGGTACCGAGAAGAAGCAGTGAGCGGGACGGCGTCATTTTTTACGATAAAAGATTAGTTGAAAAATTGAAATTGATAAGTGTAATTCCTTTTTGGCGGAGATAAGCCCAATTTCCTCTTCCACGTAGTAATGTGTCTCATATAGAAGCAGCCGTTGCATTAAATACATTTCCCCTCTGCGTCAGAAGAGAAGAGAATCTTGAACTATTTTCATACAACTGGATGTCTTTGAGGCTTCCTTTATTCCGCTGATCTAATTTTCAGCTGCGTTATTGATTGATTATTAATCAGAGGATGGATATGTATTTATTTTCAACTTTTTCATGCGATGACGACGGACCGTCAAACTTTGTGGATGTATTCCCTAACTCGCTTAGACTATAAAAATTTCAAAATATTTTTACATAGTCACATATTTCTAGTTTTTTAAGCATAAATATTTCTGCTGTAATTTGAAAAATGTGTAAATTAATTTTTAGATATTTTTTTCACAACATATACATATTTTTTAATATTTGGACTATGCAGGAAGAAATTTTTTAATCGAAGAAATTGGATCACAAAATCCATATTTTTTTCAAAATACATACATTTTATTACAAAATATTATAAATATATATATTTTTTAATATCTCAACGATATGAGACGGCATTTTTGCTCGAGAAAAACTATAAATTTTTTGAGAATTAATTTTGTAATAGTTTTTTTCGTAAATATTTTTAGTAAATATTAAATACACGATTTTTCTTAAATGCATATCCGCCTCTGCCTCATTGGTGAATGACTCATTCCACAAATAAACAAAAATAAACGTGCAAATTCCCAGCAATGTCATAGACGAGACGATAGCGTGACTTATTTATATGTGCAGAAACTTAATTAGTCGTTATGCATAATATTTATGAGATCAGGGTTGGTTTCGTTTAATAGCAAATTATTATCGCAATTGATGCCTTTATTATCAGCATATACGATCAAGGTGTAATTGGTATATGTACACATATAGTAGTGAAGGGACATATACACGCAATAATTAACCTTAACCTGCTCTACCTGTCGGGATACGATATCTCTGCACCTGTTAAATTACAGAATGCGACAGGTGCAAAATATTTGACTGTGTTTGGTTCTTCCTCATTATTTACAAGTTGCACAGTTTATCCACACGTTGTAGTATTTCTTCATGTCAAACTTTGTAAAATTGCAAATTTTGTAAAAAAAATAATATACGAAAATTTCAGTTAGAATTTTGTTTAACATTAGACTCGATGACTCATCACCAATACTTATATTTGTATTTTTTCGCATTTTGTATTTGTAAGGTTATAATTTAGATGTTTGTAATGTAGGCAGAGTGAAGAATTGAGATTGCCGGATTACGTGCGGCGTGAGGAATAAATTTGTCCATTATGGACCATGGACCACAAAAAATTGATGGACCATGGATTATTGCTCTGATTGAAGCTCACGTTTTTTATGAGATGGAAACAGCAAATTTAGTGATCTTGGACTTTTAACGTTCCCAAATTATAAAAACATCTTATATTGGCATTTAAGCTTGGCATTTTTTCGAAATAAATTCAGTTTGATAAAATTATTATGAGGAAATTAATTAAGCCGTGTTTCTAAAATGCATTACTGAAATAATGAAACCTTAGATTATAAAGATTCCAGTTTTAGTTTCAATTTTCAATAAATGAGCTGGAAAATTTTCAATAAATTTTATCGAGTAAACTCTGCAAAATCTTATGCAGTTTACAATTACAACACGTAATTATATTTGTTAAAGGGTTACAAGGCTACTCTGCATCTGCACAATTGTGGAGGAATCTTAATAAAAAAAAACAGTTATAATTGAACAACAAAATATTTTTGCTTACGGGACGACCATTTTTTCATCTTGGACTATTAACCATTCAAAAATTATAAAAATATGTGATATCGGCATTTAAACTTGACATTTTTACGCAATAAATTCAGTTTGACAAAATTATTGTGCAGAATTAAGTCGTGTTTTAAAATGAGAATGACACTTTGGATATTCTAGATTATAAAATTTCCACTAAATATAACGACCCATGATAAAGCTTTTTTCCAACCTTAGAGAGATGAAAACTGGAAACTCTTGAAATTATGAATTTTTGCTTAAAATCTAGTCGTAATTTTGAAACGTAGCTCAAGTCACACATAACACAAATTGAAGGTAAGTAGTTAAATTGGCTTATCAAAATTTAGTAGATTAGAAAACATTTTATTTATTTGGTTTGGTTTTTCACGGGCTCAGGTAACAATTAAATTGAACGAAGTACTGCGAGCCATAAGCTTTGTGAGTAGCAGACAGAGATCAAAGCAAAAAAGGGTCTATGTGGTACCACGTACAAAAATTGGAAACTTTGCCATAAATTTCGAAAATTTATAGGAAAAATAATTTCGAAAAAAATTACAGACGAGACCTGTCACGTCACGGGCACAGACACTGTGACTCACAGTACATATGTCAAATCTTAAAATTATCGTAAAGTTTGCAATAAAATGGACTAAAATAGTACATCCATTTTTTAAACACTTCTCTAAAAATGTAATTATCAAATTATTAAATAAATCAAAGTTATTTATACACTTCCACATGTATTGTTTCTTCAAAAATGAAATTATTAAAATAAATCGTCAAAAAATAAGTCAACAGTTCACTAGTTTAAACCGACAAATAAACACAATCACAATCTTAAATTCATCACATCATTAATCAATCAACAATTAAAATTATTACTCTAAAGAGAAACTTTCACACGAAATATTCAACGTGTCAAAAAAGTAAATTCTCTAAAATTACATTACGAGACAAGCATGTAACAAAGTTCATCAATGTATAAAAAAAGTAAAACACTAAATTCAACAGCACAAAAAAGTCAAATTGAGATCAAACTAAACAAAATTTTCGTTTCAATAATAAGTCGTTTCTCCTCCTGAAAGATACAAAATCAAAATTTTTACCAAATTTTATACATTTTTTGAATATTTTTTACAAAAATCTATTACGTTTAAAGATTAAGGGGACTCCGTTATGTGTATTTCAATGTAAAAAAAGTCAAATGAATCGAGATGAGATTTCCATATTTTTAATAAATCGTTTTTCCTCCTGAAAAACACAAATCAAAATTTTTATCAAAATTATATTTATACATTTTAAAGATTTTTATTAAAACGTACTACGTTTCAAGATTGACTGAGGCTCCGTTACGGGTAAAGATCTCCCCACAATTTCACCTGAACTGTAGTCGCATTTGAAAGTCACCCTCTTCTTGGTCTTGGTTGTGTCCCAACTCCGTTTTCGGTTTGGTTGAGGTTCCGGTGACAGCGGTGGGGGCGGACGTTGATTTCGTAAAACTCCTTATAATATCCCGGATGGGTTTGATGAATTTGGGTTCCGGTTCGGGTTCTGGGTCACGATGAATCCGAGGTCGACCTGGTTTCCGTTTAACCATGGGTTTGGGTCCCGGATCGGGGTGGAGCCGAGGTCGACCTGGTTTTCGTTTAACATTTGGCGGTGGCCTCTTCGCTGTTGTCGAGACGCGTCGAGTTCACAAGACTGTCTGAAATCGAAACAAGAATTGCTATAAAATTATCGCAAAAATTCAAAACTATGGAATGAAAAATTGCGAATTGAACCTGGTTTCCGTTCAACTATGGGTTCTGGGTCACGATGAATCCGAGGTCGACCTGGTTTTCGTTTAACATTTACGGTTAGGCTGACAGCCCCTTCGCTGTTCTCGAGACGACGCGTCGGGTTCACCAGGCTGACTGAATCGAAACAAAAATTTTTACAAAAAGCGATAAAAATTCAAAAACTATGTAGCAAAATTGAGAATTGAATCACATCTTGGAAAAATTTTGACAAATTGTGCAGACTTTTGTAAAACTTGAACATTTCTCAAATGTGTATCTCGAATTACGAATGACTTTAAGATATTTAGAGTTGTACGAGAAATATCGGCCTGGATTTATCGAAAGCGAAAATTTTCAGGAATTTTCGACCTGTATTATTCCTCGGGTAATCTTTCACGTGGGCGGACGTTCCAACTTGGAGAGTTGACAGGCTCGTTGTAGTAGAAGTGGTTCACCCTCCAATGATCCTCCTTCTCAAGGGCTGTATCAAATCCGGCGCTGCACAAAGTACAGGGAAATTCCTTCGGGTAATCGTCGTCGTCATCTTCATCGTCTTCCGGTGGTTGTGGGCATAATCGCCCAGCTGGAGGTTGCGAAGAAGCTGGGAATAAAAGAGTTTTATTTTTTTAAAGCGAAGTAATAACAAAATTTTTGGTAGCAGATTTTATGGGTAAAATTAATATATCGTCACAATTTTGTTACCAAATGATTTATTTACGTAATTCATCAACGAAATAGGACTCGATGACTCGTGACCAAAATCAGCCACATTTTCAATGATTTCGCCGCCCTGGGAATTTGTTTTAAAATTCTGGACGACCTTCAAAAAACGTCAAACCTAGAGTGTACATTTTTTTAATTGGCAACACCCTGCACTGCAAATTTGTGGTGCAGAATTTTAAATAAATTCCCAGAGCCGAGAAATGATTAAAAATGTTGATTTGATTTGACGATTTTGGCGATGCGTCATAAATCAAACGTGAAACTTAAATTCGATTTTTGAATCGAATTTTGTCACAATATGAATTTTGAATTTCCAATAAATAATTCTGTAATAATTAAATAAATCAAGCGACCAATTAACATATTTTTTACTCCGCCCTTTTGAAACTCACCTGTTTAACTTTATCCTTGAAAATGGCAGCCTCCTCTCTTCTTCGGATTTCTTCCACCGTCAAGACTTCAATCTCGATGTCTTCGCTGTCATAATCATAATGCAACGGAACGTTTTCCTCACTGCTGTCGCCATCAGAATAAGTCGAACTAGTATCGGCGGCGTCGCTGTCATCCGTGTCATTCGGCGTGACGGACGTAGACGAAGAGGAGACGCTACTAGTGGATAAATCGGCCAAAATCGCTGCACCAGCAGGAATGCCCATGTCGACGTCGACATTTCCCTGTAACCAAAAAATAGAGGGCCAAATTATACAAAAATGTCGCCGTCAAAAAACCATTTTCCCACTTTTTTTTACCATTTCCTCCGT